GCCCGCTGGCGCCGCGGCCCGCGGACCCTGTCCGTGCTGAGAGCCTGCCTCGCGGGCGGCCCGCGGTGAGGCGGCCGGACCGGGACGGGCGGGACCGCGGTCGGGGGCTGCCTCGCCCAGATCCCGGTTCTGCCCGGCGAACGTGATGGGCAGCAGGTCGCAGGCCGCGGCGAGCGGGAAGTCCCCGCCTTCGCCCAGGCCCGCTTCCGGCGCGTGCAGTCGTCGAAGAGATCGCTGAGGCTGTGGAGGGGACGGTAACCTCCTTTTCGTGATTAATCCACCCGAGAAGGCCGCGTCCCAGAGGAAGGAGGCGGGCGCGCGGCCCCTCCGCTGCCCGGCTTCCGGTGGGGAGCGCGGCCCTGCGGGGTGGCTAGGGACGCCGGCAGCCGCGAGCCACAGCTCCAACGGCCCGCGGCGGCTGGGGGACCAGCTGTGGCCATTTTCGCATCTGCTACGGTTTTCAGAGACTTATTACATAATCTGCCCCAACTCCTTGGAACTTTGGCCCCTTCTCTTTTCCCCTGTAGGAAGGCCGTCCCTCCCTCCTTACCAGTGATATTTCGGTTCTTCTCACCTCCCCCTGGTGTCCTAGATTGTCCAGAGCCAAACTGCCCTTTCTTTTGAGCACAACTGTGGTGCTTACAGCTGGGGCCCCGCTCGTGCTAATTACACTTCTCTGTCTTAAGCAGGATTTCTTTTTTCTAACAAACTTCTGAGTCATCTCTGTCGGGAAACTGTTTCTGTCTCCTAACAATAGGTACTGAGTGAGTGAATCTCACCATTTTTTTTTTTTTTTTTAAACTCTACCTACTTTTTTTTTTTTTTTTCAGACAAGGTCTCACTACGCATTTCTGGCCAGCCTTATGTCACTTTTGTAGCCCAGGCTGGTCTCAAACTCGCATGATCCTCCAATCTCAACCTCCTGAGTGCTGGGATTACAGACCTATACCACTACATCCGGTTTCTACCTACTTTTTTCTTCAAATGAGATGTTTCTTATATGCAAATCTTAAGCTTATGCAAATATTAGCCATAAGTACTGTGAAAATATTTTCAGGGGTATGAGGTTGAATCTTTTACAGTATGTGGCTTAGGGCTTCAAAAGGTCATGACACAGACCTGATTTCCCACCAATACCCATGCACAAACCATGTTACTCTCTAGCCAGTAACCGAGATACTTGACAAGTGAAAGTTCCCTTGCTAGCAAAAGGAGACTCTTTGCTCAGAGTAAAGTTTCGGAAAAGTATCCTTTTGTGATGCATTAGACAAAAAGTATCTGAAACACGAACTTTCACAGCAGTATCCATGGAAACATTTAATAGTGGAGAAATAAAGCATGAAATAATCTAAAGCCCACAGATTTTTCCTGTCTGCTGCTGACCCAGACAATCACTTAAAGAGAGGACATGGAGCCCACAACTGCAGGGAACACCCAGTTGGTCTCCACTGAACACTTCCAGTTGCACACCGGAGTCCATCTGTTAGAACAATGAATCTGAACAAATATTTTGGGTTGTTTGTTTTCTCTAGTGTTCATTATTTTAAAAATCTGAACCATTCTAATAATACTTGGGTTGATCTCCTGTACATTGTGTTCAGACAAATGAACTTTACTGTGTTATAAAGGAAGAAAAAAATCATAAAACGAAGGGAAATTTTCTTTTTTCTTTTATTCGGAAACGGATTAAACTCAGGCCCTTGTACTTGCCAGGGAAGCACACTTATTCCACTGAGCCATCTCCCTGACCCAGAAATTTTCATCTGTCACATGAAATACTCTCAGGATGACTTATAGCCATCCAATTACCACCAAGCTGTTCAAGAATATTGAATATGATCTTAAAACAACCCAGAAATGATTTCCATTCATCTTTGTACAGTTTAAGCTAAAAGTTGATTAATTCTGAATTAATAAAGTAAATCTTTAGAATTTCCAAGCTGCTCACGTATTTTCTTACAGATTGTCAGTAATGGCATGAATGGCACAAAGCTAGCCAAACATACCAGAGGCAGCCAAGAGGGCAACACTTCCTGTCTGGTGGGGCTGACACAGCTTGGGTTTTTCTGTAGGGGTTCATGTGTTGGAAGTCTGCCCACTGGTTTGATGGTGGGAGGCAATGTGGAACCTTTAAGGAGCCCTGGGGAGAAATAATTAAATCACTGGGGACCCTGCCCTCAGAAGGAATTGGTGTCATTCTTGTGAGAGATTGCTACAAAAGAACAAACCTGAGCCTTCTGTCCCTACTGGAGTCAAACCCTTGAACCTCTGGAACTGAGTTAAGTACATAGATCTCTACGCATTACCCACCCTCAAGTATTTTGTTATGGTAACATAAAACAGGTTGCTAATACGCCACCTTCTATGCTCTTACTAGTGAGGGTACCACTCCTTTTATCAAGAACTAGGGTTAGCTGAGCGTGGTAGTGTACACCTCTAATGTTACCACTCTGAGAGGCAGAGACAAGATTCATTAAGTTCAAGCCCAGCATGAGGAACTTAGCAAAATTCTGACCCAAATAGGACCTGTGAATGCAGCTCAGTTGAAGAGCGGGATGAGTGTGTGTGAGGGGGGAGGAGAGGAACAAGGGCACAGAAGAGAGGTTAGTCGTGCCCTCTGCTTGAATCTGGATGTACTTAGGACTAGAGCACAAGTGATTTTTCCAGCGTGGATGACAAAAGATAACTTCTGCCCAAGTTTCTTGGGGTACTTATTCTTGGAACTCTACCAGCAAGCTACGAAGAGGCCAAGATTATGTAGGTGCTTTGGCTGACAACCTGAGATACTTCATGGGCAGTGTCCGCCATGTTGATTTATTTATACGTAAAATAACAAGTACCAAGTCTCTTCCAGCCTTTAAGACTTCCAAGCTGAGGCTTCAGACATTGTGAGACATCCTAACTGTGCATTCCTGAATTCTTTTCCTCCAGGATTTGGGGCGTAAAAAACGGCTGCTATCTCCTATGTGTAGGCTTGGGATAGCTTATTACACAGAAGTTATTTTTTTAGGCACAACAGCACTGTCTGCAGTGACAGACTTCATAATCAAAGGCTCCCATTAAATATAATAGTACAAAGAAGACTATATGCATTTCTGTCACTGGATTGCTTTACATACTGGGGAAAATGTCACAATGAGATTTTCCTTCTATGAGATTAAAAATTAACACCATCTTTTAATGGATACCCAAAATAATTAAAATTCATGCAAAAGTAAAAATAATTTAACATAAATATAATTTAGGGAAGAAATGCAGGACTAGGTATATGCAAAAGTAGTTGCTTTTCTTTGGTTAACTCTGAAAAAAAATGCCAATTGAACATTTTCAGTCAAATTTTATTTTTAAAAAAGCAGCAGATCATCCTTATAATTGAAGAATCTACTCTAAGTATGTACTTGACAATGAAGTGCATCTGCATATGGACTGAAAAAGTTTTCAAAAAAACCCATCAAATACATTATCTCCAAACACCTAAATAATAAAATACTTCTGTAAGCCTTTTGTTAAGTGGCATCAGAAAGAACTGAAAATGTATTGTTAGGAAAACAAATTTGTTTTCCATACAGTAGTACAAATCTTGGGTATTTAAGCACAAGTTGAATCAAATTAAGCAGTTGATGGGGAAAAAAATTGTTGAGAGGTGTGTGCAACTGTGGGGGGGGTGTGTATGAAAGAGAGAAGAGAGAGACAGACAGACAGTTGACCCAAGAGCAACTGAAAGCTAACTTGTTCAGCTGAGACCAGACACCATCATGTTAATTTTCCATTTTAGAAGGCAAATAAAATTAACAATCCCAACAGCCCACAAACCAAATAAAAAATTTAGAAATTAAATCTGTGTTCAAAGAGCTTTTTTTCAGCTCATTTTCAGCACCCCAAGAAAAATAAACGCATCCATGACTATCACAAATGAAAGCAAGATGAATGTTATTGGAATCAGTTATTTTCTCCACTGAAGTATAAAATCTATATAGAAATTTGATACTATAACAAATTTTACTTCTCATGGTTCTGTCATAATTTTCTAAACCGTTTAATATAGTTTTTTTAAAAAAATTATTGGAAAAATGTTGTTTTCATGATTGTGAATCTGGTTCCAGTTCTCTTTCATCTATTTGTATATCAGTAGTTAATGTACTGGCTACCGGCTCTGACCAGGAAAATAGTCTTGGAAACATCTTCACTATGACAGCAGAGTCAGCAGAAGTGGAGGACGTGCAAGCGAACCCTCCAAGGTGCAGCTCTCCAGAAAACAGGCTGTTTCATTGTCCAGATATTCTTTCCCATGACTCTGGATGGAAGACTCTTTCAACCTTGTAAACATCAGTGTGCACAGTCTCACTACTACGCGGTTTCGCGTCCCTGGACAGGAAGGTGGGTTCACAGCTAGTGAAAAGCTAGAGGAGCCCACGTTCTAATAGCTGATAACCTACATCCTGCAGAGGGGAAAGCACTTTTCCTTTCTTGCTACTTAAGAGTGTGGCAGAAATGTATGCTGAGCTAGCCCAGTCA